AGCGCCAGTGTGCCAGTGATGCCGGTGACTTGGAATCTTTCTTGATATTTAGGTAATCGGGAAGTTCTCCGTATCACTGCGTACACAATCAGATGAGCACATATGTACTCTCCCGTTTCATTTCCGGATTGCACGTAATATTTTGATAAGGGTAAAGAAGATTAGATTCAAGAATTAATTTTCATTTTCTAAACCAACCACAATTATCCCTTTCACAACCACTTTTCACGCCATTTTCCCAGTAGATCTTTTGCGATCTCGAAATTCAGCAAATCCCAAGTGGCAATTTCCTCGCAAAAAGTTTCCTTTCCCTAGTTCCTGTATTGAAACATTATTTGCTTTAAAAGATCTACAGTGATCTGTTCAATGTTGCTGTCAATTGTTTTTCTCTTCCAAACTCTTTGCATGACCATTGTTTTGTGCATTCATCTCTACGGTCTTTATCTGATTTTCTTCACTGATGAATTCAAATCAATCGAATGGAGATATATTTTATCGATTTTTATCTTTTCCGTGAGTTTAAAACATTCAAACCTTTAACCGATACAATTTAGTGTATTCTGATTCTTATCCCAAACACATATATTCTCAATCCTGTAGCTTATCAATTACGTCCATGGGATTTCAGACTATTAAGAGATTATAGAGTTTGTTCAAAAATTATCGCTTCAATGAAATATCTAAATTCAGTGGTTTATCGATACAAAACCGTTCCTCAAACTACTTGCACAAGAGCTCATCTTTTTCGCCTTTTCCACAATGGCCACTCTTACTTCTTTCTTTACGGCAATGAGGCTTTTTGTAAACCATAAGCAACTTGTGAATACTGTGGTGAGTACTTTGTTGTTTATCTTACAAATAGGGTGTTCATCATGATTAATTTCTTTCTAAGGCGTGCGCCTCAAAAAGGCTACCGTAGTGATGTAAATTTGTTTATATGCAAATTCAAACTTTTCATTCATCATTTGCAGGTGTTTTTCTCAGTAATGCGAAGTATCTTTTCTAACATTCTTACTAAATATTTCTTTCGGATTTAGATTTAGATTCGAGAAAATCCGCGGGATAAACTATTTATAAAGTATAATGATTTAGGTAAATCTTATTTAAAATAAAATAATCGCAGTTTAAATCACAAATCACAACTGTTTTTCGGGCCAAAAGTTAATCTAAAGTGAAAGTTATTCAATTGAAAAGAGAGAAAACGAACTAATAGTAAGAAGTGTTGAGAAAAAGGGATAGGCTAATTTCCGCCATTTTATTTGCTCAACAGGGTCATTTGCGCAACTAGGTCTTTTGCACAACTCGCCATAACTTCCTGTTAAGTGGACCAATCTTTATGATTTTGGTCCACTTAACAGGAAGTTATGGCGAGTTGCGCAAACGACCCAGTTGCGCAAATGACCCTGTTGAGCAAATAAAATGGCGGAAATTAGCCTCCCCCGAGAAAAACATTAACGCGCTCCTTATATAGTGTGATACAAAGATATTCAGCCCATTTAACTTGCATATTGCACAAAGTTTGTTTAATTGAAGCATTAATTGAGACAAAACTTGTTTAATCGATTCAAAATTTGTTTCTGCAAATTTACTCAGTTAATTATTTAAACACGAGGAGCACGCTCTAATAGTGAGTACTTTGTCGTTTATCTTACAATTAGCAAAATTCTATAATTTCATTCATCAAATCTTCATTTAGCTATTACGAAAACCATTGCGTCTTTTACTACCAATCTCCTATGGCATTCCTTTTGTTTTCTTCACTGTTTTCCACTTGATCACTTGGATGACATTCGCATCACCATCAGTAAGTTCATAAAAGCAAGTTAGAGTTTTGGAAATTTTAGAATTCCCGAAATCTCATGACAGCAACGGCAATCTATTGTGGTGTAACAGTTTTGATTTTCCTCGTGACACATCTCATATCTGGTAGAGTGAGGAAATGATTCGGGCCCGGGTTCACACTTTCAATTTGCAACTATTAGATTGGCAACTTGAAAGTTGGTACACTTATTCATTGTACCTTTTAGGAATAACTAGTGCACCAATTCTACAGTTTTTACCAATAAAAAGGTCCATTTATTCTCTAAAACAGGCTCTTGACAGGTTTAGAAGGACTTCGGTTTTGTATGTTTCTAGGGGGCAAGAAGTTGAGGAACCAAAAATGATGAACACTCGTTGGAGCGATTTGAGCACTTTCTTTCACATAAACCTATTTTGGTGTAAATAGAAAAAAGATAGAGCATGAAAAGTTAGGTATACAGCCAAATTTTCAGCTAGTTCTAATAAATTGTTTTTGTTATAGTTCCATTTGAAGAATTTTCAGAAAAACTTGAATTCCTGCTCAAATTCGTTTCAAAAGCTACCCAAATTTGCTGAAGCTTGTCTTAAATTAGATAATGTATAACTTTTATTTCGAAAAGTCTAATTCAATTGGCGTATTAAATATGTTTTATGAAAAATACGAAAAAGTGTACCAACTTTTCAAGTTGCCAATCTCATAGTAACTAGCAAACTAGCAGCTTGCAATTATGTAGTCTGTAGAAAATGTATAAGATCTGAGGTAAAAATGTTTCAAATCTGTGAGATTTTTACAAAAATTAAACTTTCAGTGAGTACTTGATAATTTAGAAATTTTCATGTAGCTGGAAATGTGCATATAAAAAAAAATTGGCATACTTTCTCGGGATTTTTAAGTACCGTATTTTCTCTAATAGTAGTGCACCCTGAGCGTCGCCTAAATTGGTCGAAATCTCGAGAACCGCTTATCAGAACCTATCGATGTGGGGTCGGAAAATGTAGCTGACGATGAGATCTAGTGGGGGATTTGAGTGTTGAGCTTCTGGGAAAACTTTGGAAGCCATAAATAGTCACCAACTCGGTTCGCCACGGTGCACTACTATTAGAGAAAATACGGTATATAACGTATTCGCATGTGCTGAATTCAAATTTGACGACAATTATTTAGAAATAATTCCAAATTATATTGTTTTTAGCCATTTTATGTGTTGCAAGTCACCTCCGGAGGTGACTTGCAAAAGAGCTAGATCTAACTAACATATCTAACATCGAACAAAATTTTGCTAGTTGACTTGCAAACTGAAAAATGCTAGATAGAAGTGTGGATCCGACTAGCTTCTAAATCTAGCAACTTGCAAAATTATGCTAAATCTAGCAAAGTATGGACCCAGACCCAGGATCATGCTTCAATTTTCCTCTTTCAGTGATTGCAATGATTCAGCGACAAGCTTCTCTTCATGAATTTACGCATCTTTTCATCCAAATCGGCGCTTTTTTAGCCATGTACGGTGGCTTTATCGCTTTTCTGGTTTGTAGCATATAATTTACAGAGAATTCCGTGAAGTTTCCACAAGGAACAAAAGCAGTAATTAGTCGTTTTTCAAAGGCTTTTCTCGAGTGGGAAAGGTCAAATTTTGATGTGAAGTTATGTTTTTACCTTACAAAATGTCTGTTCAACATAAGCTTTATAACATAACAATTATCTCTTTGTAGCCTTCAAGGTTTTGAACTTTCAAATCTCAAGAAAAGTTCAATAAAATAGCCGTTTTAATGTAAACATGACTAATGAATGCCTAAATGCATTGATTTCCAGATTTCCTTCATCATACTGATCAATTCTGGTGGTCTTCTCATTTGGAAACAAGGCCCACTCTTTTGCCTTTTCGTCGATATTTTTTCCTCAATCGTCCCTTTTATCACTTTTTATTTTGCTCGTCCAAAAGCAAATGCTTATTATCGTTATCGTCAGATTTTCTTCAAGAAAAGGACTGCAAAAAGTTTCTCGCGAGTTTTTCAACAAAAAGTTTATTCGATCAGTTCACTGAGTTCCTTGAGTTGTACAAGTTGAAGTGCTTTGCTTCAGTTGAAGTTGAAGTGCTTTGCTTCAGTTGAAGTTGAAGTGCTTTGCTTCAGTTGAAGTTGAAGTGCTTTGCTTCAGTTGAAGTTGAAGTGCTTATACTTTCAAAGTGTCTAAGTTTTGTTTTTGTTGAATATCTTCATTTTGTGAGAAAGTTCAAAGAAATGGGGCAGCTATGAAAGTTACGAAGCTCGAAGCTTTTTTTGTGTAGATTTTTCGTAGCTGTCCCGTTTGTTTGAAATTCACCATGAGAATAGAAGATATTCAGCTGAGTGGACGGGGAAGATTTTGAAAGTATACTTTGACTTTGACTGACGTGACTAGTTTTGATATCCACAGTTTACGATATCCATTGAATATCCATAGATTACTGTAACTAGAAATCATACTTGGAAAACGTTTCAATCAAAGTGAAGATGCGTTATAAGATCTTCAAGTTGTTTCAAGCATCGACCAACGATTCAAAACCAATCAATCTTTTGTGACTTATGCTCAATTCCATTTACTCAAAGTGTTTTTCCTTTATGTTCGCATTTTGAAGTCCCGAATAAATTTCCATAAAAATTTCCGGTGCTGACTTCAATTTACAAAGTTTTAAATAAAAAAAGAACAAAAACAAGAACTAAAAAAGATCAACGATCGTAGTTTTCTCCCTTGAGGAAAATACCGAATCGGAAAATACCGAAAGTTTTACGTCAATGGGACAAAACTTTGAAAAATCGTCAATATTGAGATGAGTAATTGTACAGAAAACACAAAGATCAGAAAACAATTCAATTCTCTTCAAATCATTATTTCCAATTGCACAATTCTGAGGCCCACACCCATTGTGGGCCTCAGAGAGTTCGTAAAATTTCAAAAACTTCCGATTACCCGAGAAGTTTTTAGCTTGATTAGAGCTGAGTCATCAAAAAAGGAAAATATTTAACGAGGAAATTTATGGATTCCATGAGAAAAGGCGGAGAGTGATGAGTAAGATTAAAAAAATGGAAAGGGTTTTTCGCAGAAAAAAAAAGATAAGGGATTTAATAAAAGGAGGGTTTCGGGGTTGGTCAATGAATAGAAATTGAGTTTTGTTTGTAGATTTGTTGCTTTGTTTCTTCAAAATCAAGCAAACTTCAGGAAAATGGATTATTTCAAATCGTTGTTGCTTTTCTCGTTGGTTGGTTTCCTGAGCGCGGATTGTCCAACTGCCTCTGGTAATAAGACTTTCTAGTGTTAAGTTTGTTTTGACTAACAAACTAATGACAAAATCCTGAACCTAAACGCTTTAAATAATATAATAGAATGAGTTAAAGTGGCTATTTTCAAATTTCAACTGTTTTAGGTCCTTGCCCAGAGAATTGGTCCTATCAATCAGTGAGCAATGCTTGCTATTTCTTGAAGGTCTATCCAAGAAATCTATAAACAAACAAACAATCTAGAATTTCACTGCGTCGAATGGAAAAACTTGGGATGTGGTCGATGTGAATGAGGCTGAACTACGGTAATCAAAGAGAACTTTGATTCATTTTATTTATTTCAGTTGTCGCCAATTGAATCCCAAAGGACGTCTTGTATCTATTCACGATGCTCTAGAGAACCAGATTGTGTTCGGTAAATGGAAATGGTCAAAAAGACTACAATGCAACCTAGATTTTCTCAAAACAACCAACTTGATGGCCAGCACGATGGCTCCAGCTGGAAGCAATCCCTGCTCATCTGGTATTGTTTTTTTGGATAACAATTGCCCCAACGAAAGTTGTGTGTTGTGAAATACTGATATCCAGATAGCTTATACTTTGCCCTTGTTTGATTAGGCTTAAAGATTCCGCTTCAATCGGCAACAATCGTTTATCGGGCCTCTCAAATTTGGGCAATTAAATCGATAAAGAACGAATACAAAAATAGAAACAATACAACTAACAACTAGATGGCCTATGACTTGGAACCAAATGGTAAAACAGAATGTTTTTGGTAAAATAGAATGGTAAAACAGTTTGGTAAAACAGAATATGCAAAAGGATTGATTGAGCTTTCAAAAAGAAATTTCTACGGTATTTTGTATCCCTTTACGACAAGTTAACCTATAGTTTGCATTCAAATTGATATATTGTGCAAACGGCAGTCGCTAAAACAATTTCAAACAGATTTTTCGATATCTAGTAGACTTTACTCAATCCCAATTTTCCTTAAAGACCTATAAATGCAAAATGTTTAGCCTATTCTTGGTGTGGTCTCTCCTACACCAAAGCTACAGATTCCTTTGCTTGGACTGATGGATCAAAAGCTGATTGGATCCCACCAGTTTATAAGCTTTCCGGAATCACATATTATGGAGTAAAAAAGGATTTTGTCTATCTAATCGATTCCACTTTCAGATGTCCAGTGATGAATCGTGTGGAGGCACAAAGATTTGGGGATCCTATTCGACGGAAGCCGCACAATTGTTGGCAAGATACATTTGTAAAATCGCTCTTTGATTCATTAAGAGCTTCAAGAAATAAAGAATGTTGGCTTGTTTGGCTGTTTGGCTGATTGCAATGTTTGGCAAAGCAATGTTTGGCTATGTTCAACACAGAATACAGCTACTTGCTGGCAAAATATCGTTTTGACTTGGTACTGTGATAGTGAGTACTCTAATAACTGATACGGACTGATATGGACTTACAATGAACTAGATTTATTCACGAGCACTTGAAAATATTCCATCAATTCTATATTTGTTCATCGCGGCATCATCCAAGCTCCCTGACAAATTCGATCTCTAAAACATACAGTTATTCAGCTAGTTCTATTTAAATTTCAACAAGCTCAAGTACAGTTACCGTTTCTCAAGTACACTTACAAATTCAGAGTGATAAACGAGCAAAAGAACAATTACCGAAATCGAATTGATTTCTGTTTTCCTTTCTTTGCTAATTGAAAAACGGCACGGTAAATTTGTACTTTATGCTGTAAAATAATTAGGCGAGAAAAAAAAACTTGTTTAAAACTTGTTTAAAGCTTGTTTAACTTGTTTAAAACTTGTTTAACTTGTTTAAAACTTGTTTAACTTGTTTAAAACTTGTTTAAAACTTGTTTAAACTTGTTTAAAACTTGTTTAACTTGTTTTAAACTTGTTTAAACTTGTTTAAAACTTGTTTAAAACTTGTTTAAACTTGTTTAAAACTTGTTTAACTTGTTTTAAACTTGTTTAAACTTGTTTAAAACTTGTTTAAAACTTGTTTAAACTTGTTTAAAACTTTATTTTAAAACATGTTTTCAAAAATAGGTAGCCAGTTTCATTGAACTGAACAATATTTAGAAATGTTAACTTAAACTTTTCTAATTCTAAATTCAAAAACCCACTTGCAATAGAAAGCATCAACCAGTCCGATCATTACTAAAAAGAGATCGATTCAGTAAAAAAAATTGTTTAAAATTACCAAGAAATAGGAAAGAAGTGATGAATATTTGCAAAAATCGAGACATTCTAGACTAGATCAGTGAAATGATATAAAAGATTTTCCGAGAAAAAGAGCGAACTTTTGAGATTTCTCATAATCGGTCAATATTTCTCTCATTTTATCTCTCGTTTATTATTTATAAGTCAAAAAATGAGAGATTAAACCCTAATTTTGAGAGAATTTTCGTGTTTTTCAATTCGATTTCATTGGTTCAAAGAGGAAATTTCTTTGATTTCGCTTAAGATTTTGAAATAAGTAAGCAAAAACAAGTTGTCAAATGTAAAACAAAATGTTTTCGATGACAAATTGAATTGAGAATTTTTTGAGAGTTGAAATTGTTTGTTTTGAATTGTTTTAAAGAAATTTAATAAAGATTAGATGTAATAAATTTATTGACTAATGAGCAAATGCAATAAACAAGCAAATGATTTCAATTTATTGACTTGAATATCCTCCATCAACCGGAAAAGCCAATCCTGTAGTCAATGCTGAAGCATCGGAAAGCAAAAAGAGAATTGCGTTGATCACATCTTTTCCGGCTAAAAATAGATTTCGATTTTAGGAATCATTTTCTGATTTGACAGTGGGAAACAAATGGATAAATCCAGCAAAACTAACCGGCAAACTTCTTCAATGGCAACTGATCCCTCATCCATTTTGCTTTGTCTGAGTCGCTCCAGACCTAGATTTTCTATTTCTTATAAATAAATTTCACTAATTCAAGTGTGTTCTTATTTACCCCAAGTCCTTGTTCGAGAATGATGACTGTTGGATTGACACTGTTCACCCGAATCCCATGAATTCCCCATTCTCTTGCTTGAACTCTTGTCACCATATCGAGAGCCGCTTTTGAGCTGCCTAATAGTAAGATTTAGGGTACTTCTTTAGTACCGTTCTTTAGTATCGTTCTTTAGTATCGTTCTTTAGTATCGTTCTTTAGTATCGTTCTTTAGTAACGATCTTGCCAACCTTGTATCATTGATTTAGTTATCTTAAACTTATCCAATTTTCCCTTTAAAGCATTATTAGATAGCTTAGGCTTTGTAGATTCTAATAGTTTTTGAGTTTCTCAAAATCTATCATAAAAAAGTGTTTAAGTTGTGGGTTAAAGTTTGGCAAATCGATACTGAAGAAGTACCAGGTATAGATATAGATTTCAATATCTAAAGCTATACGATGCACCAAGATGCAACTTACTGTATCCAATTCGATCGTGAAGTGGTCGAAGTCCGGATTGTGAAGAGACGTTAACGATTGATCCTTTGATTTCATGAGCGATCATCTCTTTGGCAACAATTTCAGCGATAATGATTGGGCCACGGACATTCACTTGATACATTCTGCAAAGAGATTACTAACAATTAGCAAGTACGGCACCTCAAGCCATACTTTGCACTTTTATAACCTTTTTAGTGCACTCATTTTGTACTTACTCGTCAAGATTTTTCACTGTTGCTTCCAAAGCTGATTCCATATGTGCAATAGCCGCATTGTTAATCAAGAAATCGAACGGTTGATGCTGGAACTTATTGCTCTTTACAAAAGCTGATCAGGAATGTGAAGTTTATGAGACAAGCATACTTCAGCCAATATTTTCTCGAGTTCTTCTTTTGTTTCTGTCACATCGCCGACAATTGGCACAATGTTGGTGTGCTGGAATTGAATTAATTCAAGATTTTACCAATAACATCAAACTTCTTTAGCTAAAGCTTCTAATTTTTCTCGATTTCTCGCCAATGCAAAAACTTTAGCATTCAAATTTGACAACGATTTACAAATCTCATATCCGAGTCCTAAAAGGAAAATGATTTTAATGGAAAAATTGTACAAACCTTGACTTGCACCAGTCACAAGAACTTTCTTGTCTGAGAAATTGAATGAACAGCTCATTTTGAGAAAAAAGAATAGAAAATGATTGCTGAGAAGTCTTATCAAATGAGATGGTTTTTGAAAAGAGAAAAGGCAAAAGGAAAGGCAAAGGATAAGATCTATTCAGTTTATTGCAAATTTTAAGGTTTGAAAAACAAAGACAACACTGATTGTAAGAAATATATGTTTATGTTTTGATCTATATAATTTCTTGTGAGACCGTGTCTCGGTGTGTTTCAATAGTGGTCTTCTTGAAGACGCACAATTTATCCAACTTTCCCTTATTAGGGCAACTTCGCTCAAACTGGAGCAACCTGGCACTATCACAATTAATTCAACACTTGCATGTGAAAAAAGGATGACAAAAAACAAAAAGGAAAACAACAAACTCACTCAAAAGCAAAAGCTTAAAAATAACGGGTTTTTTTAAGTATACAAGCTACAACAAGCGGACAGCTGAATATCGTCTAGTGACTGATTACGGTAGTTTATCCATCAACTTTGAATTTTAACCTGTGTATTGAATTTTTGACTAACTGCAGAGCAGTGGCAATTCGCCACACTGATCTAACTTATAAAAATCACAGCACTAATCTCAACTTTATTCAAGCTTTCGTTGTTGATGTGACCATTAATGGTTGTCCTTTCTTTTGTCCAGTTTTACCCTCTATTGAATAACAAATCAACACAGGAATCATTTCCTTTCGAAAATTTCTAAAATACGCTCAAAATAGTAACTTTACTCTGAAAATCTCACTTATTAAACAAAAATAGCACTCCCGGCTCTTGAGAACATTGCAAAATCCATAAAATGTAGCTAATAAAGTTATTCAGAATTGCTAACAGTCTTAGATTAGCGAATTCCTAGAATTTTTTGATAATCCGAATAGAAATCTTTGATAACCTCGTCACTCGCATCGTCGGGTATGTGTGTGGAAGGTAAGATTAAATAACCAAACTGAAATCGGCTTTGATACCTTGTCATTTTCAAGCTTTTCAAGCTTTCAATCAATCACCAACCTCCCAAATAAACCAACAAAGAACCGAACAACAAAAAGTAAAGAATAGCTGAAATTTTGTTGAAAAATTTGGCCTTCTAAAGCTTTCTAAAGGCCTCTAAAGCTTCTAAGGCCTTCTAAAGCTACTCTCACCGGGAAAACAAAAGCCAGATCAGTCTTTGATTGTCTCTTTCGAAAGAAAACTAATGGAGCCAATACACTGTAAGTAATTGCCCCAGCCACAAGATTGATGTAATTGCAAGTGATTCTTGTCTAAAACTTGAATAGCAAGCAAAAGCTATGTCTAAACTTGATTCCATATTTCTGGAATAATCGATTCTCCTGCGTAGAAACCCCAATAACTGAGCTCATTTGAAAGCCAAATATTCCCTCCAGATGGCATCAGATCAATGGTTATGATACCGATGCATATTGCTAGATCGAAAAGAAGGACTATCTGAATGTCGTTTTTTGAATAATTTCAATGTTTCACTCACGATATAAAAAGCTGAAGGAATTAGATGGATTTTGAAGGGAATTGTGATCAAAAGTAAGCGATGAATAGAGATCACTCCACGAAGGAAATCCGAAGCAAAACAACCGCCAAATGAAAAAGCGAATGGGAGCTGAAAGATAAATTCTAATCATTCTAATCATTCTAATCATTAAAACTTACAATCGACCAATACGATTCATAATCAAGGCTCAATGTGGACAAAGCACTTGATGCATGGTTGAAGAGTTGAATCATATTCATCACGCTCAATTGAAGGAGTGTCCAAAAGAAGAATGTCTCTTTGATCTCTTTCGAAACTTTTTGTTTCATTGTCTAAAGTTTACGATGTATTTCGTTTGAGCGTATGACCCCAATCTTTACTCACAAAGAACATCATAATATTGAGTATCCATCCCATCATTGCAGCCAATAATAAAGGCCATCCAAAAATGAATTTCTGCTCTCCGATTAAATAATCCCAGGTACTATTTGGGATGATTGAAGCATCATACCAAAGATAGTAACCCATTTCTGAAAGAAATTAAGTAAGGGGTACTATTAGGCTGTCCAGAAAGTCTTTTCGTTCGTTTCATTTTGTTGGGAAATATTAGATTGACAACTTGAAAGTTGGTACACTTATTCATTGTACTTTTTAGGAATAGCTAGTCGATCAATTAATCTACAGTTTTTACCAATAAAAAGGTTTATTTATTCTCTAAAACAGACTTTTGACAGATTTAGAAAAGCTTTGGTTTTGTGGATTTCTAGGGGGCAAGAAGTTGAGGAACCAAAAATGATGAACACTCGTTGGAGCGATTTGAGCACTTTCTTCCACATAAACCTATTTTGGTGTAAATAGAAAAAAGATAGAGCACGAAAAGTTAGGTATATAGCGAAATTTTCAGCTGGAAATGATTTTTGTTATAGTTCCATTTGAAGAATTTTCAGAAAAACTTGAATTCCTGCTCAAATTCGTTTCAAAAGCTACCCAAATTTGCTTAAGCATGTCTTAAATTAGATAATGTATAACTTTTATTTTGAGAAGTCTAATTCAATTGGCGTATTAAATATGTTTTATGAAAAATAAGAAAAAGTGTACCAACTTTTCAAGTTGCCAATCTAATAGTAACTAGCAAACTAGCAACTTGCAATTATACGCTCTATCTTTTTTCTATTTACACCAAAATAGGTTTATGTGGAAGAAAGTACTCAAATCGGTTCATCGAGTGTTCATCATTTTTGGTTCCTCAACTTCTTATTCCCTAGAAACCTACAAAACCGCAAATTTTCTAAATCTGTCAAGAGCCTGTTTTAGAGAATAAACGGACCTTTTTATTGGTAAAAATTGTAGATTAATTGGTGCTAGTTATTTCTAAAAAGTGCAATGAATGTGTACCAACTTTTCAAGTTGCCAATCTAATAATTGACCTTTCTAATGAAACAAACCGTAGTTTTCAATTGGTGCATTTATTGGTTTTAAATGGAAGAACGAAAAGGAACGAAAAGACTTTCTGGACAGCCTAATATAAAACCAAAATGAAACATGAATAAGTGGAAATGATTCCTTTAAAATCTTTCTCAAAATCCTGACAATAGATAGAAAAGGCTAAAAAGCATTTATGATTAAAGATTTATAATCTAATTGTAAGAGACCGCAAAGTCCAACGTTTTACTGAACAATGTAATTACTGAAACGAATAACAGCGAATAAATGTTTTCTTTTTACTTTTTCTTGTTGAAGTAATAAATTTAGTAGTCGGTAATTCTTAGAATCGTTTCTTTCTCAAAATTCCTCCATAAAAGCTCCAAAAGTTCGTCGATCAACGAGGTGGAATTGGAAATGATTGGTGGATAGAAAAGGTAAAGTTCACTTAACAAACAATTTGTGGACTCTGTTTTAGATTTAGTGAACACATTTTGAGATGTACTCTGAAAATGTACTTGTGAGAAAGCTCTGATATCTCTGATGGGAAAAGGATATTTTTAAACTTTTATTTCATAAAATTTAAAGGTTTTTGCAACAATTTATTTTTTTGAAATCGTTTGCTTTGTTTGTTGTGATGATTGTTGATTTGATTTCTCAACGATCGAATAACAGATTAATACAGGGATCATCTCTTTTCGAAATTTCCTGTAAATCCCGTAATTTTCTAGTTAAATCCTTTAGAAAAATCAAATAAAATGTATTTATTGAATAAAAAAAGAATTCCTGGTTCTTGTGAACATTGTAAAACCCATAAAATATGACCAATAAAACATCCAAAGACTGACAACATTTTTCGTGACTCATAATCCTGAAGGACAATCTTGCGATTAAAAACTTGCGAACTACCTTCTTTTTAACATGACTTGGCATTGTTTTGAATGGAATAATTATTTCATCAAACTGAATATCATTCTTTTTTTATCTTTAACTTTATCTTGGCAAACCTCCCAAACGAACCAACAAAGAAGTGAAAAACAAAAGGTAAAAAAGAGCTGGAAATTTCCGTTTCAAGCAACATTTTTTACATTCACTCACCGGGAAAACAAACGTCAAATCGGTTTTCGACTTTCGATTTCTCCGATAAAAGATCAATGGGACTAGCACGCTGTAGGAAATGGCACCAGCCACGAGATTGATGTAATTACAAGTGATTCTTGTCTAGAAATCGATTATTTCCATTGAAAATGTTTACAAACTTGATTCCAAATTAGAGGAATGATTGGGTTTGTACCGATGAATTGGCTGAAATAGAGCTGAAATAGAGAGCCAGATATGGCCACCAGATGGGAAGAGATCGATTGTTGAAATAGTGATGAAGATTGTCAAAGCGATCAAGAGGATCAGCTAGAAATTGGTCATGGTTACAAAAAGTGACCGGATTAACCAAATCAGATTCTGAATTTGGCTTTGCTTATAGGCATAGTATTACCTACTATTACCTACTATGCCTATAAACAAAGCCAAATTCAGAATCTGATTTGGTTAATCCGGTCACTTTTTGTAGCCGGAACGGGGCCAGTCAAATAATCACGTCAAGCCAGGCAAGGTTTGCCTTCAAAGCCGTTAAAGGCATAGAAGGTTTATTGCTAATCACTTACAATATAAACTGCAGATGGTATCACGTGGATCTTGATCGGAAAAGCGATGAGTAACAATCGATGAATAGAGATCACTCCACGAAGAAAATCCGAAGCAAAACAACCACCAAAAGCAAAAGCAATAGGTACCTAAAGATTAGAATTCTTGAAATTCTTTCAAAAAGCACTCACAATCGAAGAATAACACTCATAATCCATGCTCAATGTACAAAAAGCTAATCCGATATGATTGAAGAGTTGAATCATATTCATGACACTTAATTGAAGAAGTGTCCAATTGAAAAATGTTTCCTTGATGTCTTTTGTCACTTTTCGTTTCATAGTCTAGAAATGAAGAAGTTTTCGGATCACTATTTCACTTACAAAGAACAACATAATATTGAGCAACCATCCCATGACACAAGCCAATAGTTGAGGCATTCCGAATGCGATTTTATAATCCCCAATAAGCCATTCATCAGTTGATGGGATCATTGATTTATTGTACCAAAGATAGAAACCCATTTTTCCTTAAAAATTTCATAAAACAGTCAAAATCTCCGGATAATAAAAGGTTTTTTGTATTTTTGATAACTTTCACTCAAAGCCACGGCTTTTTATTAACTTTGTCAACGCAAACATTCAATTCAATTCATTTTCTTTTCTTTTCTCTTTTCAGCAATAAATCTAGCGACTAGAGATTCGCAGAAATTTTCTAAATTACTTTGTTCTTTGAATGAGTGAGATTAAATTGAGCAAAACAAAGCCAAATTCAGAATCTGATTTGGTTAATCCGGTCACTTTTTGTAGCCGGAACTGGACCAGTCAAATAATCATGTCGAGCCAGGCAAGGTTTGCCTTCAAATTCTGGCTTAACAATAAAATCAAAGCTCAAAAGTGTTTTAGGAACATAAAACCGATAAAATTTATTCACTTTTAAGCTGCTTTGTAAGATATTTGATAGATAATTATTTGATAACACTTGAAACTTTTGTTGTTTTTCCCTTGTTCGATTGACGAAGCAGTATGCACAACATTTCTTTGCGGAGATTTCTAAAATTTGAACTATTGCCATTTATGTAAGTGTAGCTTCTATTTTCAGATTTCCGTTACTTGTTGAAAAGAAAGAGTACTCCCGGTTCTTGAGAACATTGAAGCATCCATAAAACTTGAGCAAACATTTGACACAAAGCACAAATGATTTGAATATTGTGGGATTCCTGAAAGAGTCATATATGACATTTAGGAATTCTCAAGGTCTACTTCTCCATTTGGTTCCGTTGGAAGAGAAGGCAAAAAAAATTTTAGACAAATCTGAAACTTTACAAGTTTAAGATCAATTCTTCCCCTCACTTCACCTCCCAATAAAAGAAACAAGTCAATGAGCAACAAAAAGTGACCAAAAGCTGAAAAAAACTGTAAGTTATCGATCGGAAATTAATCACCAACCGGTATCACAAAACCATTCTGTTCTCCTCCCATTTTACTCGCTTTTCGCCGATACAACATAATTGGAACAATGACACTGTAAGAGATTGCACCAGCCAGAAGATTGATGTAATTACAGATCATTCGAACCGGAAAGAAAAAAGATACGTTTACCGTATAGGCTTTTACTGTATAGGTTCATTATGAAAGATTTGATTCCACCAGAATGCACAAAAAGACTCACCATGACAGGCAATCGATATTCAAAGGAATCACGATGAAATCCGATAAATTGTAGACTTGTTGGCCAGTAAACATAAGCCCCTTGAGGCATGAGACCAAAAATCGTGATACTGATAAAAATGAAAGCATCGAAGAAGAGAATACTCTGAACGGATTTTTTGCATTGATTTTAAACTTAAAACTCTTACAAGGGAACCTTCCCAAGTTACCCGCTAGTTACAATATGAGGGCCAAAAGAAAGGCCTGAAAATATACGTTCAGAAACTGTTTTCAAAAACCGCTAATCGGCAAAGCGCACAAAGTTACAAACATTTGAATTTCGAAAAAATGAAGAATTCGAGAAAAGCCTTCATTTTTTCGAAATTCAAATGTTTGTAACTTTGTGCGCTTTGCCGATTAGCGGTTTTTGAAAACAGTTTCTGAACGTATATTTTCAGGCCTTTCTTTTCAACCTCATATTGTAACTCGCGGGTAACTTGGGAAGGTTCCCTTGTTAGACATCGCCGTTTCGTTATGGATTTAGTTGAATGCTTTAAAACCTTTAAATGCAAACATTCTAGTTCTATTTTTGAACTCAACCTAGTCGTTCATTCAAGGAGAGGTTCATTTCTCTTGAAAATTCCGATTGCTTCAAATAACTTTGTGTCTAATTCTTTCAGGGATTGTGGAATTGACTACCGAACAACTTAAGAGAATGCAACAGCCTCGAGTCCTTTAAAAAATCAGCAAGTTGCAACTAGGGCAGATCAAAACGCCGAGACTTGAACCTGCGACCTTTCGCTTGCTTGCTTGCTTTCGCTTGCTGGGCAACTGTGCTAACCACTACACCACAAAGCACTTGACCTCCCTAATCCAGAGGATTCCAGAGGATGTTTCGTTAACATCCAGAGAGTGTTAACTAGTAGATAACCTAGATCTCCTGTGGGTAATTGATTGGATTTCCTTTATTCTAATCTTGCAATCTTTGTTTACCATTAATTTCTATAGTATAGATTTTCTAAATGATCTACCCAATAACAAAATGATGGAATCTTGTGCAGTTTTAACGGAAAAACGACTAAGATAAGTCGGTGAATCGAGATGATTCCACGCATGAAATCTGAAGAATAACAAGCAGAATAGGCAAAAGATATCGGAATCTAGGATTTCATGAACAAATGCTCTTCCTTTCTTGACTTCCTTTCTTAATTGATCTATGAATGAACTCACAATTGAATAATAAACTTCAAATGACATAAATATTGTCATAAATGCGGATCCGATATGATTAAACAATTGAACGAGATTCATGACACAAAGTTGACCCAAAGCCCAAAAGAAAAACGAGTCTCCGATTTGAGAATTCATCTTTCGTCGACATACCTTGAAATGGGAGTTGAATCAAATTTAAAAGAAATATTTTGGTAATACTTAAGAGTTTCAGCTCGGGGTAAACTCACCAAAAACATCGTGATATTGATGGGTAATCCGATAAATGAAGTAAACAATTGTGCTATTCCAAATAAAATCTTCAATCCCTTATCCAATTCCCACCAATCATCATTGGGGATATCTTTTTCGATAAACCATAACCATTTATTTGAATCCATATTTCAACTTTTAACTAAAAACCAAAGAATTTATAACCGATAAACAAATCGAAAATAATGTGAATTTCAGCAATTACGTGCTTTCTTTAATTTCGCTAATAAAAATGGGCTCCGATGGGGAAAAGTGTAGCAAAAATTGGGTCGTTCTCCCATGGTAATCTAATTTTTATTGGCTTTTTCTCGTTCAAATTGCGAAATTTATTGTGAAAATGAGACCAAAGTTTGCCAATGAAAATGAAAGGATTTAAAGTTGAATTAAAGTTTCGCCTTTTCGAGGTTCGCTTTAGTGTAGAGAGCAACAACGCCAGCGCCGCCAATGCCTGAAATGTGAAAACCTGTTAGTCTGATGTTAGTTTTCAAGAACTTCAACTCTTTACCAACCAATATTATGCTGTAGAGCATAGCGGACATCTTTCACTTGTCGTTTCCCACAACGACCACGAAGTTGATTCGACAATTCGACAACTTGCGCCACACCTGGACAAACTTTACCACTCAAATATTCGTGAAATACAAACCAGTTGCCCCAATTGGATGTCCTTTTGATATCAATCCTCCACTCGGATTGATTACCCATTTTCCTCCGTATGTATTATCTCCACGATCAACGATTTCTCCACCTTTTCCTGAAAAGGAATTTGAAACTACAAAGATTCGAGTTTCAACTACCAATTGGACACAATCCCAACGCTTCATAAGACAGCAATTCATTTGGTGCAAAGCAATCGTGAAGCTCGATTACCTGAAGAACATTTCAGAACATTGGACAAGAATATTTCAGCTAAATGAAGCCATTTACCTGTACATGATTCGGTCCGATTCCAGTCTCTTTATACAAATCATTAGCTAATTTATGCATCATATCAAATCCAACCATTTTGATGTTCGAATTTTCAGAAAAAACCGATGGTAGATCGGTTCCGAGTTTTATGCCTGAAGGTGTTTGAGGGAAAATTAGATATTTTTCTATAACTCACCAACAATTTCTATGGCTTGTTCCCATAAATGTGAGTTTTTCCGGAGAAATTTCTCTGAGCAAAGAACAATTGCTGCGGCTCCATCGGATGTCGGACTGATGGGATAAAATTGAAAGTATTTTTTAAGGCCTTACCTGCACTCAAGTAATCCCATAAACTCATGAATCTTTCTGGCGTTCATAACCTGATCCAATGAGTATTCTTTTGTAAATTGAGATTTTCTGAAGGAGTTAAAACTTTTTCCAATTAAGAGGAAACTCACGGATTATTCACCGAATGAAGATGATTTTTCCAGGCGATTTTTGCGAAATGTTCTCGTTTTGTGCCTGAAATTTGGAATTGAATGGATATTGGTTTGATTCTTCAATAGTTTTCTATCAAATATCCCCAATTTACCGTATTTTTCCATATGTTCTTTCCCAGCATTTCCGAACATTTGAGCAGTGATTGGAGAGGCGTTTAAACCGTAAGTATCAGACATCACCTAAATAGATACCTAGTTTTGTCAATCATCTGAATGTCCATCTTTTCACCTGAATATGATTGTCCATTGATGTAGCTCTTGTATCGGTTTTCTGCGCATTTCTCATATTATCCAACGGTCCTGTTGCCATTTTCTCAAATCCCACCGCCATCACAATGTCCGCGTTTCCTGTCGAAGTCAAAGCGGTACTTTTTATATTCCATTTTTTACCTGATTCAATAATTTGTTTACACAAAAACACTCCTGAAGATCCAGAAGCGCACGCGTTGTTCACGTTAAAGATAGGAATTCCGGTCAAACCAATCTCATAAAGAGCTCGTTGCCCACAGCAAGTGCCTGAAGATTTTTGTGTAAGGAATTGAATCCTCTTTGCCTGTTCATCACCTCCAAATAGATAAGATACGGTAGCTTGCTGTATATCTTTATATTGCAGTTTAGCCTCGGAAAGCGCTTCGTTTACTGAAAACTTTCTGAATTACACAAATTGTTCAACAATACCAGCTTCTTTGACTAAATCCGGATAATCCATTCCCGAAGAACCGGGCTTTGAAAACTAAATTGAAATACCGTATTTTCTCTAATAGTAGTGCACCTTGAGCGTTGCCTAAATTGCTCGAAATCTCGAGAACCGCTTATCAGAACCTATCGATGTGGGGTCGGAAAATGTAACTGACGATGAGGTCTAGTGGGGGATTAGAGTGTTGAGCTTCTGCAAAAGCTTGGAGACCGTAAAATAGTCACCAATTCGGCTCGCCGGGGTGCACTACTATTAGAGGAAATACGGTATATGTTATTTACTATTCTAAAAATCTTTTATAAACGATGAAACCTTTGTCATTCCTCCTCCAATCACATACACTTTTGGCTTCGACATTTTTTTCTTTGGAAACTGATAGTTTAACCTAAAATGATTTGGAATAATGTTAAAAATTCATTTCAAAAATGGATAACAACAAGTAACCAAAAAATGACAATTCTCTACCTATTTATCCCTTTCATTTGATGTTCTTATCATTTCGAGTGATCACACTACGAAATACGAATGACCTGGTAATGAGAGATTTGAGAAAAATAAGGAGAACAGGTTGCTAAATGATCAGCGAGAATAAAAACTGTATAATGCTGTACTTAAGAGTTTAAAAGCTTTACAATACTTAAACTTCTACAAATGGACTTTTGGCCGAGATTCTGGAAGACAAAGTGAAGACGATGAAGGCCAAAACAATGCAAAACATTTTGGTCTTTCAAAAAAGATTCAGAAATGAAGCTATAACAAGATTGAAAGCCAATTGTCATGTCAATTGCCCTTGAAATTCAATGAGTCAGTTGTCAAAATGGTCATTGTCAACTTTCTTCGATGCATCAATCCCAAATTAACATCTCGATTGATTTTGATTGATCTCGAATGGTAGAATTAAATCGATCCCCTCTTCCCTAGATATTTATCCTCTTTTGTCAATCGGTTGATTTCTTTTTCTCATTTGATGTCTTCTTCATCTTCAATACAACGTGATCTTTGAAACCCTCTATATTCTGTATCATTCTCTCAATTCTACGATCATCTCAACAAGATTCCCCAAGGATGCATTCCTTTACTTCGAAGAGTTCACTTGGTCTACTTTGGTGATGTAGCTATAGGTGAATCGTTAGACCTCACAAGCGTCACTTTGATTACAGCTTTTATTTCCAAGTGATCCCAATCAGTGGTCTCATAGGTGTTTCTGGTCTTGTAGAAGCTCTCTTTTGTGGTGGAACACATCTAATCATTGTGCCTCTTGATCTACTCAAGTTTCGAATGCAAGTAAGACAAAGTTGAGTCTTTTTATGTATTTTATTCAGATTGACCGAAGATCCCGTCCTTCTTTGTCGATGGTTTTTCGATCTCCGATAATGGTGAGATTTGATGTGTTTATAAGATTCAATCAGAATCGAGATTACTTTATAATTAGTTAAAAGTTCGTTTTTTTCAATTCCAGCTCGTGAATGCTCGTGAATGGGCCCCAACAGCAATCGGATATTCGGTATGGTTTTGCCTATTTATTGCCCTATTGGTGTATTATCACGATCACTTATTAAAGGTAATCGTAAAAAGATTCCATTTAAAAGTTTTGGCTGGATGTGTGGCTGGTGAGTTTGACTCTTGATAGTGGATAGCTGAATACCGTAGTACTTGAAGATATTTTTTTGCCTTCAGGTGTTGTATGTGCTGAGGTTCTCATCCTCTCGACGTGATCGTCTCTCAAATGTCCAACAACGCTTACATCGATTTCCGTTCGGAGATTCGGTTCGTTTTCGATAAATTTTTAAACTTACAAGAGTTTCTTTTCTGGTGAGGCGCTTATTTTCTGAAGCTTATTTTCTGAAGCCTTATTTTCAATAATACAATTCTTTAGAAATGTTCGATTGATAGGAATGTGATCTCGAGACTCGAATTTTGATGATCTTTGCCGCCGTTCAACTTTTTGTCGTTGATTTTGTTAGGAGAAGCTTAAAGCAAACGCAATCTAAAGTCCTTGGACTTTTAAGAGAGCGTTTTTGAGATGTCTCATTTCCCAACTCGATGCCGAGGTGAAACAGTTCCCTAGTAAAGTTAGAGCTTCAACACCATCCAAAGTGACAACACTTCCTCTTGTTATTGTGAATAACTCGAAATGCAAAAGGTGTTCAGAAACTTACTGGATGCTATAAGTATAGCTTTTTAAACATACAGTAGGGTCCAAAAGTTTGGAACAATCACCTTCCGGCAACTTTAACTCGATGTAACTTGCGTTAAATACATTCAATTTTGTTACTTTAAAAACTATTTTTGTTGCATTTTTTGTGAACTTTCTGAATGTCTATTTGATTTTATTTGATATTTGATCTTTTTTTTTGGTCTTGCTCTTTTCTTGGAACACCCATTTTTTAGGGGTCCAAAAGTTTGGAACAATTTCAAAAATAACAATTCATTTAACGATTAACCGGCAAAATTCAGTATTTTGTGGCGTATCCCTTTGCTTTAATAACAGCTGCGCAACGATTTGGCATCGAATCAATCAAATTGTCAATGATTTGCCTTGGGATCTTAGTCCATTCCTCCTCAAGCGCTTTCATGAGTTCTGATGTTTTTGTGAAGTTTCTGGTTCGGATTTGTCGGTCCAAATGCTCCCAAAGATGCTCTATTGGATTCAGATCAGGGCTTTGAGCCGGCCATTGAAGCACATCGACGTTTTTTTGTTGAAGCCATTGCTTAACACGCTGGGCCGTATGCTTCGGATCATTATCGTGCATGAAAATGAAGTCGTTGGCCAAGTTGTTTCTGCCGTGTGGAAGCATATGGGTCTTCAAGATGTTTTCATAAACAGCTGCATCCATAATACCATTGATTCGGACAATTGGACCGACACCGTATCGTGAAAAACAACCTAAATTCAAATAAGCTCCGTTGATAATGGAGGTAACCAACCCCAAACGATAACTGATCCACCGCCGTGTTTGACTGTTGGAATTTGATACTTTGGATTGTTTCTTTGATTAATTGGACGTCTAATGTATCGAATTCCATTGGTGGAAAAGAGCTCATATTTGCTTTCGTCACTCCACAATACATCACTCCAATCATCAGCCGACCAGTCTTTGTACTTCTTGGCAAACTCGAGCCGAGCCTTCACGTTCTTGCCGGAAATCAACGGCTTTCGAGACGGACGACTTCCTTTGAGTCCTTGTCTCCTAAACAGCAATATTTTATTGCTTTTTAAATCATAAAATGACTTTAAGATGCGCTTAGCCGTCGTTTTGGAGAGCGAAACTCCATAGCTTGACTTGGGGTCTCGACGTAGATCAGCTGAATTGAGGCGTGGATTCTTCTTAAATGGAAGTACAAGTGTCCTCTCATCACGCTCATCCAGTTTAGCTGGCCTTCCCTTTGTTGCTGCTCGTTTCACATTTCCGGAAACCTTCCATTTGTTATAAATCTTGGTTACTGCTGAATGGGTGACACCGAATGTTGTGGCGACTTCTTGACGGCTCTTTCCTCGATTTACTTCAGCCACAATAAGTTCTTTATCATACTCCGTCAAATTCGAACGATTTGGCATCTTAAAATTAAAAATGTATTGATATTTTTGAAATTGTTCCAAACTTTTGGACCCCTAAAAAATGGGTGTTCCAAGAAAAAGAGCAAGACAAAAAAAAAGATCAAATATCAAATAAAATCAAATAGACATTCAGAAAGTTCACAAAAAATGCAACAAAAATAGTTTTTAAAGTAACAAAATTGAATGTATTTAACGCAAGTTACATCGAGTTAAAGTTGCCGGAAGGTGATTGTTCCAAACTTTTGGACCCTACTGTAAATGGAATAGAATTTATGTTTAACAAGCTAAAAACTAAAGTCCTTAAAGCAAACGCAATCTAAAGTCCTTGGAACATATTTTAACTACAGTATTTTATAGTGTAATAGATTGAATATGCTAATTGAAAAACGAGTTTTCCTGAGCACCTTCCCTTGGGGCATACTGTATGTCTGCGGTAAGACTCTTTCTAAACATCATTTCAGCTCGAAGCTGTAATTAGATCAGGCACTTTTCTTTCTCTTATTCCTTTTTTTGTACCCACTTTTTTTCTCATTTTCAGGTGACTTTCTATTTCGAGCAACCAATCGAAAAGAAATATTAAAGAAAACAACAAAAATCTCTCTTAAAATCTATTAAATTTGTGATATTCAGCTTATTGATTTGTTGTTTCTTTTATTTGATAAACTTTAGAATCTATTGAACTTTCGGAAACATTATAACACCCTCAAGCTTGTTGGGTACAAATCTGCAAAAAATTTCTAATTTTCAATAGATCTTTCCCAAAGGAATCCCATTTGAGTTCGAAAATATTCCGAATTGATGCAATTTTTGTGGCAAAAAGCGGACACAAAAATACCTAGAATCGTAAAAAAAAAATATCCGAAAAGACAGCCGCTTTTCCATCACCCGGAAAACGGAAAAAAATCCAATTTGCTCAACTTTTTTTATTGGAACACAAAGTTTATGACAACCAGATAATTACCAGCTTTTCCCCTTTTCCTTTTATGATTCAGAAATTTTACAAAAAAAGAACTAAAGATTTACTGTCATTTGGTAAACAGGGGAAAAACGGCAAGTAACTCGTTCAAAGTTTCCTATTTATAATCAAATATTTGAGTATTTATAAAGCAATTTTCGATAAGTAAACTTTGATTTCATTTTATGATTTCATTTTGATTTGATTCTTACCTGTTCATTGTACTTCTTGTTTTAACATTAATTCTATTCCATTTATGTTTAACAAGCTATACTTATAGCATCCAGTAAGTTCCTGAACACCTTTTGCATTTCGAGTTATTCACGATAACAAGAGGAAGTGTTGTCACTTTGGATGGTGTTGAAGCTCTAACTTTACTAGGGAACTGTTTCACCTCGGCATCGAGTTGGGAAATGAGACATCTCAAAAACGCTCTCTTAAAATTTTAAAGGACATGTGTTTTACTGAATCAATACAAGGAGAACGAACTTCAATTGATATCTTTTCCGAGAAAAACGCGTTTGAAGTTCGAAAAAACGGCGCCGCCATGGTAGCGCCAGCCAAATTACTTTCTTCCAGAAAGCTACCGGATTGCGTAGAGGATAGGCCTTGTACCTAGTGACCCTAGTTCATCTAGGCACGGGCCTTGTACCTAGTGACCCTAGTTCATCTAGGCACGGGCCTCGTACCTAGTGACCCTAGTTCATCTCCTCGTACTGTCAATTCTTTTTTGCTTTTAAGTTACAGTTAACTTAAGTTACAAAAACCCATTTTTAAGTATTCTATTCTGTCTACGGACATTAATATCATCTTAGTATTTTTCATTTCGATTCCCCATCAAAATTCTCTTCCTTGTACCACGATTACTCTATAATTAGCTTTCCCTTTTCCAAATTTACTTTTTAAACGAATTTTCCCTTTTTCCTTGTTTTGATCTCTGAGAATATAAATTTTAAGTCAAACCGATGATTATAAGCTGTAAAAACTGCTCAAACAGACGGAAAACATTACAAAAGTCTTAAACAGCTTCATCTTTATCACTTTTACAATATTTACATCATTCAAATCACTTTCAGACATTTTATATGGATGGCAATATCACAATTGACGACGAGATTTGCTTCAATCGATATCTTTTCTCTCAAATTTACTCCCTTATTTGGTGTATTATCACGATCACTTTATTTTTATACCTTTTCTATACAATGCTCAATCTACGACACGCCTTTCATCCATTTTTCAGGTAAAACTGAAAGCAATCCACCCCGATCATTCCCCCATTTTCAGCTTTTACTTCACATCCCTTCTTTTCCTCTATATTGCCTGCATGAGTGCCCAATTCACACTTCGTTTTTTCCAACTTGAACTTTACATCGGAATCTTCAGCGATATTGTATTAAACATTCAAAATTACACCTATTTCCTTGTCAGTCCAATCAATGTTTTCTGTGTGAGTGAACGGATTTGCGCCACATCAATTCGTCGATATGAATACTCAAGAAACTATGTGTTATTCGGTTTCTCTATAGTCATTGCGGTAAGGTTTTGAATTACTTCTGAATCAATTATCCAATTGTTATTCATATAATCATCCTTTCATTTTCTAGATCTCTCTCGCTACCGTACTCGCTTTCACAGAATTTGGTGAGTAAACATTTTTTTGAAAAACTTTCTCCTTTACAGGTGCTGCTTATGTGGTTGGGTATGCATTGATGGCCCAAGCGTTGATCTCTTTATTGGTAAGTGTTAATTGAATATCTTTAAAGATAATAATTACTTTACTTTTAATTTAGTGCATTTTCATATTATATTTCGTGAATCGTCATCGAACAAAGATATTGACGACGTGTGGTGGTGGAGAGCTCACTTTGAGATATCAATTAGCTGAGAATATTAAAGGTAATCGTAAAAAGACTCTAGTTAAATGTTTTCCTGATTTCTAAAGAAGGATTTGAAGATTTGAGGTAAAGAAAAGTTCAAATGGTGTTTTTGACGGTTTCCTTATTTTTGTTACACTCGAGCACCAAAACAATACCTGACTTTATGTAGAGATTTTCACAATCAAAAATCAAGCATCAATTTCCGGTAAACAAGGTTACTCTTTTACTTGAAAACCTGCAAAATTATAAATTGTATAAGTTTAAAATATGAGAAAAAGTAAATCTACAAAACTAAAGGCATGCAAAATTTCAGCAATGAAAGCTCTTATCCCATTTCTTTTATTGGATAATATGATCACTTGGAATGATCAATTATTTGATCTTCTTTTTGAAGTTAATTATTTACAACCACCAATACTTTGCACAAAATCAACGAATAATCTTCTTTTTCTCGTATCAACAACGGTTAGTTTAAAGAGTGACTTGTTATTGACAAGGAAATAATCCAATTCCACTTATCAACTTCCAGACTCGATCTCTTTTTTGTGCTTCTCAATCACTTATCATTCTTTCATATCACGAGCTTTTCCGAAAGAAATTCCTCGATATTTTCTGTTTTTCTGTCATCAAAAGACCCCCGGAATTCATGTCAAGAAGAACTCAACCAACGTGCAAAATGAAGAAATTGAGTAATGTTTTGGGTGCAGAGATCAAATTGGCTATCACACAACAGGAATATTTTGATATGATGAAAACATATTGGTGAATAAAAAGTGGGTCCTCATTTACAGAGACATAAAAAGGTTACCCTTGCTCTTTGCAAAGGATTGCTTTGTTATCGAACTTGTTCATCTCTTGAGAGTAAGGCGCATGAAAAAATAACTTCCAGCGCAGCTCGTCAATTTTTTTTTTTGTGAGTGATTTTTGCAGTGTGGGGTTTCGCCTTGTCGTGCAAAAATCGAAACTTTGATGGATCGAGTCCCAATTTCTTTAAAGCATCGTTAACTCTAGTCAATTGTTTTGAATAGAGATCAGCATCAATGTTTTCTCCTGGATTAGCTAACTCATAGTACACCAAATCTTTTGAGTCCCACCAGCAGCAGAGCATTATTTTCTTTCCATGAATATCAGGTTTGGGAATGGTTTGTCCGGTAGATAGCCATTGGTTCTTCCTTTTAACATTCTTGTAATTAATCCAAGTTTCATCAGATGTCAAAATCGAATCCCAAAAACCATCAGCTTTGTATTTATGGAGCAAAAAGAACTGACAAAGTATCAAAAGTAATTGATTCATTTTCTCATGATACTCCAATACTCTCCATCTTACTACTTGTAGCGGTGCTTTGTTGACCACTTTTCTTCCCTAGTACATCCCTAGATCCAAAACGAAAAAAGCACGCGTTTTGTAAGTAAGCACGCGTTTCAAATTCTTAAACGCACCCTCTAAAACAGCAATTTTTGCCTTTTGACCACCGCTACAACTATGAATCTTTTTCTATTAGAAAGAGCATGTCTTAAAACCTAAATAACACGAAAAAGAAGCATACTGTAAAAAATAAAAATTTTCAAAATAGAAACTTTTTGCTAAATCAACCGTTTCAAATTCTTAAACGCACCCGCCTTTGCTGTTGTTATTTGAAATTTTTCGTTTTGTTGTGCATATTTTTTTATTAAATTTATAATTTTTGTTAATTTCCAGGTAAATGGCACACGGAAAGCTGCTCACGGATTATGATAAAGGCCAGATTGATGCCCGTTTGAGGATTGGCGACTCAATAAGGAAAATCGCAAAAAATTTGGGCCGATCCGACTCTGCCGTGCGAAATTATAGAAAGTCCGAGTTCGTTTCGTCCGAGTTCGAAATTATAGAAAGTCCGTTTTTGCTCCTAAATCCAACCGTTCCGGACTTGTTTCAATACGACAACGCGTCAATTCATCGAGCCGGAGACACCCGAGACTGGCTGAACAGCAACGACATTGCAACTTTGGACTGGCCCGCTCAGTCTCCTGACCTCAATCCGATAGAAAATTTATGGGGAATACTTGTCCGAGCTGTCTACAAGAATCATCATCAGTTTCAAGACGTTTCTACACTTAAAGCAGCAATTTTTTCGGCCTGGAGCTATCTCGACGTCTCTGCTCTTCAAAATCTCATCAATTCAATGCCAGACCGCATTTTTCAAGTAATTAATCGTTCTGGTGCTTGTACAGATTATTAGTTTTGATTTTTAACCTTTGATTTTTAATTTGTGTCGATAAATAAAAATATTTTCATGTGCGTTTAAGAATTTGAAACGGTTGATTTAGCAAAAAGTTTCTATTTTGAAAATCTTTACTTTTTACAGTATGCTTCTTTTTCGTGTTATTTACGTTTTAAGACATGCTCTTTCTAATAGAAAAAGATTCATAGTTGTAGCGGTGGTCAAAAGGCAAAATTCGCTGTTTTAGAGGGTGCGTTTAAGAATTTGAAGCGCACTGTAGATGACTCTTATTAACTATGCTTACAGTATACTTACATGTCTAGAGTATATTGTAGCTATAACTGTAAATGAACGCTTCTTATTCCCTATTCTCTATTTGATGAACAAAAGATCTTTTCCATTTCGCTTACAAAAGATGTGTTCTTCTCGAAATTAGTCACACTGCTGTTTGTAGCATTTATCCTTTTATTCCTTTCTTGTATTCCTTTTATTCATCTTATTCCTTTTCTCTAACGCTTGATTACATTTCTATCCTTCCCCTACCTCATCATTTCTTCGTGCTTTTCCCCATCTCTCCAAGCGGTAATTTCAAAAAAGCGCCTGTTCGCCTGTTCACAAAAATTGTTTCCAAGAATTCAATGAATTGAATAAACAATTTTCAAAGTAAGTTTTCAAAGGCAACCCTTGAGTCTCCAAAATGCTCCAAATCAGAAAATCATTCTTTTTTTCACATTTCCCATTATTTACCCTTTTAATATCTTTGTTTTCTCTAAACATTTCGTGTTTCATTTCATTTTCCTACTCGATATATCTCTTTCCGTGATTTGAAAAACTTCAAATTATCATAGAAATTAAAAATTTTTCTTTCGTAAAAACTTAAGTCACAAGTTGAAGTAAAAACGTGAAATGTTTACCCTTTTTCTTTTTAGATTCCTTAATTTATGTATAATTGGTGTTTTCGCCTTTAGAAATTTAAAAATCTACAGTTTAAAGATTGTTTTGAAAGATCAACTTCAATAAACGGAAAAGCTTGCAAGGACTGCTTACAATTTGAGTACAATTTTAGAGTATACATAGTGGAGATCAAGTGCTTCACTAGTTTATCTGATTGTTTTGTTTGTTTGCTTGTTTTCAGTTTTTAATTTGAAAGCAGATCACCTATCTATTTTCTTCATCTTTTCATTCAATTCTTCCTAATTTCTCTTACATTTCCCGATCTTTTGACCAACTTGAGACGTTGAGCTTATTCGAAATCCTCCCATGAGTACTTAAAAATTATTTCCAAGCCTGATTGTTTAATTTCTTTCAATTCCTCATTGTTTACTACAATCTTTCTTAGATTAACCTCATTCAAAGAGGGAAATAACGAGTTTGGATTGATCTACTCTAAAGAAAACTCTGGCCTATCTCATTGAGATTAAGGTTAGATCTAGGGATGCTTAGCCGAGATCTAGAGAAATCGGCGGCGTCGGCGTTTCCAATTTTAACGAAAACTGTAACATTTCAGAGATTTTCATTCGTTTCCCTCAATAGCCCTTGATTGAAGCTTTCGATTCCGACCCCACATCAATAGTCTAATTTCAACGGGTGAACGGATTTCGATCATGTTTTTGAGGAGCTCTAAATGGCCATTTACCGTTAAGCATCGCTACTTTAAACCATCAGATACATTATTTTGTTATCGGATTCTATCTATTCTATCATTTTATCATCTGTCTTTACCTTTCCCTAAGTGTTTAGCCTTGACAAATCAGAATTTCCAGTCATTTTGTACATGACCGATGAAGTGGAATTGGGCGATGGCTTGTGTGTCCAACGATATCTCTACCTCCAATATTTATCTCTTTTAGCTTTGGGTATCACGATGATTTCATTCTCTTTTCTCTTCTTGACATCTTTCCAACTTCGACACGCATTCCATCCATTCTTCAGGTGATCGATTCTCACGTCTGATCGTTAAAACAATTTTTGTCAAGACATTGATTCAAACATTTAACTTAAACCATGAAATGATTAAGAATTCATTCTCGTTTCTCTCTTGGGATTTAGAAGAGAGTTTCAGAATGACGAATGAACGAAAAAGTGGATGAAAAAGCAGAATTGGGAAACTGTAAGCTGTAAGGGGACATTTTAGAATTGATTTTCATGGGTTTCTTCAAAACTAGTGACTATTTCAAGGTTATGCTGAATGAACTTACTAGAGTTTCTGAAGCAGAGAGAATCTTTCCGAAATCTTTCTAAACCAATCCCTTCCCCTTTTAATATTCCATTTCCAGTTTCTACTTGATATTCTTGGTATTTCTCTACAATTTTGTCATGTACATCCAATTAATTATCCGTCTTCTTCATATCATTTTCTATGAGGGAATTGTCGATGAAATCCTCCTCACAATTCACCATTTTGTCTATTTTCTCATTTCTCCGATCAATTTATTTTGTGTAATCGAGCGAATATTTGCCACAATCATTCCCCGATATGAACATCAAAGGAATTACCCATTCTTTGTCGGATCCATATTTCTTGCGGTAAATTTTTGCAATTTGCAGTACTTAACTAGTAAAGTTTGCGTGCTTTCAAATTGCAAACTTTTCTCAATTTCGACTTTTCAGCTATTCTTAACCGGCTTGCTCACCTACGGCGAATTTAGTGAGTGTACTTTTCAGACAAAATAAAGAAATTATTAATTTCGACTTACAATTAGCCAAAATCATCGATTTTTGAACTTTTCAGTCTTTTCAACTTTTGAAATTTGCAAATCTGAATGAAACTAATTCAATTTTCCAGTCAAATCTATTTTAGTTGCCCAATATGTTGTTGATTGCACCCTGTTGGTACAAGCATTTCTCTCGTTTGTGGTGAGTCATTTTTGGCAGCGAAAATTTATAGAAAGGTATTGAATGAATCTTTTTTAGTGCATCACTATCCTTTATTTTATCAATAGAGAGCGGACAAAAAAGTTAACGAAACGAGGAGGAGCAACATTGACATTGAGATATCAAATGGCTGAAAATATTAAAGGTGATCAAAGCGAGAAATTTGGTTGATTTTTACAATGTCTTTATTGTTAAACAGGCGGTAAAGCTCGCCTAACGGTGTCTAGGACCCACACGATCCGGGTTCGACCCCCCGTAGCAACACTCAATTTTGACTTTTTAATTTTTGATTTTAAATGGCAAAACTATATTAGATTTTAAGATTTTTAAAAAAAATTCAGTTTTTTTGCCCCAAAGACGGCTGAGAAAAAGTCCGTACAGACCGACAGACTCCTCTCTTATACATAGTAAATTCTCGAATGCCAT